ACGAGATGACAAGAAGAGCCTTTTGGATACCACAGTCCAACGTTAACCGTGCCGACAAGGTACTTCATGATCCGTTTCACCGCGGTTAAGTGCGATTCCTTCGGACATGATTGATACCTCGCGCAAAGGCATACGCTAAACATGATATCCGGCCTACTAGCGGTAAGATAGAGAAGGGATCCGATCATACCTCGATACTTTTTGACCTCTACTTCCTTACCTTTCTCGTCTTTGTCAAGATGGTCAGACGTGCTCATCGGGGTCGCCATGGCTTTGGCAATGTCCATTTCAAACCGTTTTAGGAGCTCCTTGCAGTATTTAGCTTGGCAAATGAACGTTCCATCTTTCATTTGCTTAACTTGGAGTCCGAAAAAGAATGTGAGCTCGCCCATCATTGACATTTCAAATTCGCTAGTCATTAGCGTCGAGAATTCCTTGCACAAAGACTCGTTAGTAGCACCGAATATAATGTCGTCTACATAAACTTGAACCAAAAGGATGTTATTGTTTTTACTCTTGACAAAAAGTGTAGTGTCAACCTTTCCCCTTTGGAAACCACTATCCAAAAGAAATTTACTCAAACATTCGTACCAAGCACGTGGTGCTTGTTTAAGACCGTAGAGCGCTTTCTTGAGTTTGAAGACGTGATCGGGAAACTCAAAGTCCTCAAACCCCGGGGGCTGGTCAACATACACTTCCTCTTGAATAAAACCATTGAGGAAGGCACTCTTAACATCCATTTGATAAAGTTTAAAATCCATAGACGAAGCAAAAGCAAGGAGTAAACAAATAGCTTCTAAACGTGCTACAGGTGCATAAGTTTCTTCGAAATCAATGCCTTCTTCTTGATTGTAGCCTTTAGCTACGAGCCTAGCTTTGTTTCTGGTGATTATTCCATTCTCATCAAGTTTGTTACGGAACACCCATTTCGTACCAATAATCGTTCGATCATTGGGCCTTGGCACCAATTCCCAAACGTCATTCCGTTTGAATTGGTTTAGCTCCTCTTGCATAGCCAAGGTCCAATGTTCATTGTTTATTGCTTCGGAAATGGTTGTAGGTTCAATTTGAGATACAAAAGCCATGTGTCCTACGGTGTCCCTAAGAGAGTTACGAGTACTTACCCCGCGGTTGATGCTGCCGATTACCTGGTCAAGTGGATGGTTCCTGTGCATTCTCCAAGCGATGGGAAGCTTGGTTTCCTCTTGTTACTGGGCTTCCTCTTGTTCTTCTTCGTCTGCTTGGTCTTCACTTTCGACCATCACTTGAGGTGTTTCCTCAGGTTGTGGTTGCGAGTTGGTGTATAATGGTTTGTCTTCTTCATCGTCTTCAAGGTGTACTCTCTCTAATGAATCAGCAAGATCATCACAAATAGCCTTTCTCGCCAAGCGAGTATTATCTTCGGAAAATACAATATGAGGGGACTCCTCAATAGTCAAAGTACGTTTATTAAATACTCTATAGGCCTTGCTGCGAAGAGAATAACCAAGAAAAATCCCTTCGTCCGACTTGGCATCAAATTTTCCAAAGTTATCTTTGCCGTTATTATGAATAAAACATTTGCAACCAAAGACTCGAAGATGGGAAAGATTTGGCTTTCTCCCTTTGTATAGCTCATAGGGCGTTTTCATGAGTATCGGTCGAATGACGGCTCAGTTTAACACGTAGCTCGCGGTACTCACGGCATCCGCCCAAAAATACTTAGGGATTTTTGCCTCATTGATCATAGTTCTAGCCATCTCTTCGAGACATCTATTTTTACGTTCCACCACTCCATTTTGTTGTGGTGTACGTGGGGCTGAGAAGTTATGATCAATGCCAAGTTCGTCACACAAATCTGAGAATAGATTTCGTTCGAACTCTCCCCCATGGTCGCTTCTTATGGCTACTATGGTTGTTTCTTTTTCATTTTGAACTTTCTTTAGAAAATTTTTGAAAACATGAAATGCTTCACTTTTATGAGTAAGAAACAAGGTCCATGTAAACCTAGAGTAGTCATCGACAATCACAAACGCAAAGTAATTGCCACCAAA